CCCCCCCACTCGTTAGGTGGACCCCCACGAGTCAGCTGCCGGGCTTCACGTGTGTTCTTTTCTGGCTCTGCCAGGCCCGCCCCTGAGCGGCTGACCAGGGGACCCTCGTGCCGGACCATGCGTCTCAGGTGGGCCTCCTCCTCCCTGCCCAGCTGGGATGTGGCCGCCCAGGGGTCGCTGCTGCTGTCCCCATCCAGAAACTTCTGTGGCCAGAGGACCAAGGGGCACCGGGGGTCAAGCCCCGGGGCTCACCGGCGCTGCTTAACAAGTGGGGAAACTGAGGCCCAAGAGGGCAGTTGTACCGTACATCGGGGATGACAGAAGGAGCCCCGACGCGGGCTGGGCCCACGTCCTTCGTCGCAGGAGGGTGTGGGCCACAAACACCTGTCCGGTGGTAACCGTGGCTCCGTTCCGAAACCCAGCGTCAAGCTGCTGTCCTGGGTGAGCAGGGGACACCCTGGAGGCACCGATGGGGCACGGCAAGTGTGGCACCAGCTCAGCCGAGAGTGGGGGCCGGGCCGGTGCGCGGGCCTGGAGCCCCCAGAGGACCTGGACCGGGGAAGGTGGGCCTGCAGAGGCCAGTGGGGCAGAGACAGAAGGAAGCGGCCCTTTGGGCCCCCTCGTGGGGGGCGTGGGGGGCGGGGTGGAGAGCAGGCGAGAGCGTCTCCCAAAGAATAACGTGGGGGCGTCTGTCGCACCCCGGCGAGCCAGTCGCACACCGCACACGGGGACGTTCACGGAGGCACACGGACCGCACGGCTTCCAGGCCCAGCCACGGCCGGGCTTACACCCCCACGCGTGGACCCGAGAGGCCGGGCGGCCGGTGGCATCCCCGCTGCCCTCACTGAGATTAGTGTCTCCCGCGTCTTGGCCGTGACTCCCTGAAGCCTGGGCAGACGACCGTTGTCCTCGTTTGACCGACAGAAAACCAGGCGCAGAGAGGCTACTGACTCCCCCCAGGCCACCCCGGGCGTGGGGGACCCTGCCACCCACCCCCCCCGGGCCCCGTGCTTCACCGAAATCCTTCGCCACGGACCTCCTGGGTGCGGGGTGGGAAGGGGGGCGTTGGAGGCGGTGCCCCTCGCGGTGACAAGCTCCAGAGGCACGTGCGTGGAGCCGGCTGGGGTGGGTGTAAATTGAATCCAGTTTAAGCAGGCTAAAAACGGGCCCGGGCAGGGGGCCTCGTCCCCGTGCCCCTCCCGTACCCTTGGCACGGCTTGGCATAGTCCTTGCGGCCGTGGGGGTCCTCCTCAGCTGTCCAAGCTTCAGGGGGGCAGGGCCAGCTGGGGACCACTCCCTCCTCCTGCAGCCCCCAGCCCAGCTCTACCCCCCTTACAGGTGGCTCCCTCCTGTTGCCCCCGGGGTGACGGGGGATCTAAA